TTTCTATATAAAGTTGCTGCCCTTCTATCCAAAACTGAAAACCGCAGGTCTCTAGCTGTTTCCTAGCCGAAGTTATTCAACTTACAACCGACTGCACTGTTCATTGAAATGGATATTAGTAATACATTACCATTAACAGTTAATGTAAGTTCATGTATGTTTTAATAATTGATAAGTAGAACTTGTATTTTTGTTAATATTGAATATTCAACATTAGTGTATAGAGAAGTTTTAGTTAAGAGAAAGCCAAATTTATTGGGGAATTATTAATTTCTTCAAACAAAAAATTTAGTTTATCAATATTTTCAAATAAATTCCAAATAACTTCTTGTATTCTTTTAATAAAGTTTAAAATATGAGAAATATTTTCTATCAATCAGAAAATTAGAATATGAATATTTCCTTCACTCGCATTCACCTTTAAAACTTTATAATTTAGAGTTTATTTTCTCGTCATGATCTTAATTTAACATCATCATTACAAATTCTAATTGAACTATATTCTCGTTGCTTAGCAACAAAATTCAAATCATTTTTGTATTCAATTAAAATATGAATTCATAAATTCATTTATATATCTATATGATTTATGTGATGATTTAATGATATTATTAATAAGTTATGATTTCTGTAAATCTGGTATATTACTTACTTGAAAGACATCAAGTTGACTTAAATAAATTATATAATACAAGAATTAAATAATGATATATAAAATAATAATTTAACACAAAAAGTTATATAAATTAGTCTTAAAAGACTTTTAATAGTTGATCAATATCCTAAAAATGATATATGGCGTTTATATGAAATACATGCACGTATTCATACATGATTATAACGACCAAATGAAAATAAAAATTCATTAAATAATGAACATAGAATGATTGATAGTTCATCAATAATATCATCATCATTTGTTGTAGAATTATATGAACGTACTAAACAATCATCAACATTACCATGATTACTTGCACATACTGATTTATCGAATCGTTTAATGAATAAAATGGTTTTAGAATTTGCTATATCAATATAACAATTAAATTCTCAAATACTTGTATGTACAGTTTTTGCTGTTTTTTTTTCTCCTGATTTAATCAATGCATATTATTCAACTGAAGTTAATGAATGAACTTTATTATGAATGAGAAGTATTGCACAAAGAAAATCAATACGTACGGGTCTATGGGCGTTAACTTGTCTTATATTAAGTACATGTCTGTCACATATAATTTCTGATGCATTGTAAGTATTTATTTAAATCATTTATCCTTAATCTTTAAAGAAAAAACAATTGTATTGAAATATCATATTGATTATTTAATAGTGAATTAATATTGTACGAGTGTTTCTGAATTTATTTTTATAAGTAAAATAGAATGAAGTCGTATTTGGGCTGTTGAATGAGTTATTGTTTTTCAAATTATCAAGACTTCAACGTAAGATTAAAATTTATTTGGAAAAAATAAATATTAGAAAATTAATGAAAGAAAAACTCTGTATTATAATTGCGAAGGAATGACGATCAAAACAAAATCAATAAATTTCGCCATGAAATGTTAAAATAAATTCTCATAGATAATAATGTATATCTTTTACTTTTTTAAGTTGGGTATGGGTGGGCCCACCCACAACATGAATTTCGTCGCGAATTAATACAATAACAAAAGTTAATCATTATTCTGCTACTTTGATTCAAACAATAACTATCAAATATAATGCTTTGATTCTCTTACTTATTGTTACACTTATTTTTAATTTCATCTGATAAATTATCTCTTTCTACACTACTAAGCAAAAGTATCCTGACCCGAATTTCGGCCCTCATGAGAGTTGAATGCCTGAAAATAATTTAGGTAAACGTCAACATCAGCGTTAAAATTGCTTAAACTAGAATGGAATGATAATAGGTAACGTCCACAGTCCATATAAGTATGTATCAGTCCAAGTCTTGACTGGTCAATTAGATGCCGACGAGATTGGACTAGTGCATACTTAAACCAATACGAATTTCGTAACTCGAGAATATATGACATAGGCTTAAACTGTTCACGATGTTTTTCATAAATGAAGTTATAGTATATTATTAAATTCAGTGTATCCGACAAGTTAATTAAAGATTATTTCTTCGAAATCATCACAATTTACAACAGTATTAACTACTGTACATAATGATATTTTTGTTGAAGATGTACGTAGTATATCTACTTCCATATTAAGAATGGATACGGTTCGATTGCAAACTACTGCATTGATCCAATTTAAATTAGTATATAAAATTACAAAGCAAGAAATGTAATAAAAAATGAAACTGTTATAAATAATACTGGAAATATTCATGTATTTTTTTGTCTTTCATCGCTTCACTATTGATTTATGAAATCTTCAATTTTCGTTGTTTTTTTAAAGGACATGGAAATTCTATTCGATCTCAACTAGTATTGATCAATTAAATGAATGTTAAACAATGTGAAAGCGATTTTCTCAATGATTTTATTCAAAACAAAATACAAAACAAAAGCAATTATTATTTCCATTCTAAATAATATTTATCATGTCGACGATATATTATACAATTCTCGACTAAGTTTTCTGAATTGATCATTTTCCGTAATTTTTCAAGTTCATCATGAGATCCTTCATTAACATTGACACAAAGTGTTTTAAGATTATTATTATTTGTTATCTGAATTTTCCATAAAGTACATCGAATGATTAGTTCAACATTATAGTTACTAATCTGTTGTAATTCGATAAATTTGATATGTGAAAAAAGATTCATAATAAGAAACATTTGTTCGAAGTTAGGTATATCTCTAAGAGACAATTTAGTTATTTTGTTATTCCCTAAGAAGAGATAAAACATTTTGGAATTTTCATTAATTAGCAATAATTTTTCAGATGGTGGGAATGATATTATTCTCATTGAATCAAGATTCGGTAATAAACTTAGGATTTTTAAAAAAATATTAGGAATTATTTGACTGCAGTCGATATTTAAACGAGTAACATTTAACATTTCAAATAAAGGAATAATTTTGTTAATAAATGGTTCATTTTCTTTGGTATGAGGATTACTCCTGATACTAATATGGGCACCTCGAAGAGAATAAATTGAAGAATTGATAAGATTTATAAATTCTTGAAAATCATGACATAAATCTCTGAAAAAAACCGATAAAAATATTTATTAAGATAAAGAACTACTTTTCAAATGTACCTTGAAGGACGTATTAAATAGATTATTTTATCATTGTTAATAAAGATTCTAAATATCCATTGTCTTTTAAGATAAAATAATGACGTAAAATGATTGACTAATGCATGACAAGGTTTGATTTCAAAATCATTATCGATAGTATCAGTATAACAAAAGATAAGTTTATTTAAATAGGGTATATGCTGTGATATGATATATTCAAATCGAGCTCCATTTAAATAATTCTTGTCTGAACCATTAATTGTAACACTTAATATTCTTAATTGAGAAGATAATTTTACAAGAAATTTTTCAAATTTATCAAATCTAAGATGATTTATAGATATAGTTAAATGTCGTAAATTATTTAATTTCATTAATGCCTCTGATTTAATATCATCTTCTGATTCAGTTACATTAAAACAACACAAATGAGTAAGTTGAGGTGTATGAGAAAGTAAATTAATTAGTTCATTAAGAGTCAAACGATGATAAATAACCAAATATTCAATAGAAGAAAATTGTGCATTTGTAGCAATTGGTATGTTGAGATTTAATGCTTGATAGTCTGATATATTCAATTTAAAATATTTTAAGTATGATAAATGAAAAACAACTCGATAAATATCACCAAGATCATCATCGCAATGATCAAGAAAAACAGTGAGAGAGAAGAGACGTGGTAAAGATTTTAAACGAAAGAGAAGCTTCATCAATTGAAATGTTGCGATTTCATGAAGAATAATTGATTGAAGATGATTGAATGATGAATCAATGGTATATAATATGTTGAATTTATTAATAAGTGATTGATTATCAGAATGAAGTGAAATAATCTGATATTTATTTGAATCGATGAGATGTTTATAACGATCGTCGAATATTGATTCTGATTCAGAAGAAAATCGAATTGTTAGAAGATATGATGAATTAAAGAGAAGATTTTCAAAACGATTATTCAGATTTGAAAACGCTTTATAAATATCTTGACAAAGAAGATAATCAAAAATTTCATAAAACATTTCATTTGATAATTGTTCAATTGAATTAATCGATTTTCTTTCTAGAATGAATAAGATGTTTACAAAAACAACATGAATTATTTATAAACTTACTTTGTAATTTGACATTCGAAAACGAATATATTACTCGGCTCATATTTGTTTGAGAATTAGATATTATCTATAAAGATAATAACATTAATGCCTAGAAGTCTATTGTGTCTTTCTTTCATTCACACAATCTCATTCTTTGTTCGGGTAAGATAATATTCGCACACTCTTTCGCCATTGAATATAAATGACACTTCACCTCTACAAATAGAAAGAGGGGCGTTCAGTGTCAATCTATTTTCGGATATTTGTACGCATATGTTCACAGTTAAAGAAACGAAAAACAATAGATAAAATGAGCACCCGGTCGAGCGAAAAATTCTTATTAAAATATCTCATGAACTAAGTAATATTACAGGTGCTTTTGCATATGAATAGGCGATATTATTTTTTATTTTTTGCCTAAATTAGAAATAGAATAAAAGTTAATTTGTAATTGAATGCCATTTTTTTCCATTAAAATCTATAATTAAAATTGATGTAATATAAAGAATGTTTTATTCATTCTTGTTGTTTATACGAAACCGTTAAAATATTGAAATTTTCAATTTACAAGTGTTGCTTCTAGAGATGTCTACAGGGCACATTTTTTCTTCCTGCCCTGCTCTGCCCTGGGAAAAAATGGTATATAAAAAAATTTGTGTTTTGCCATGCCCTGAGAAACAAAGAGAATATTTTAATATGTTTTACGATTAGGATTTTAAAAAAGCCATATCTGTCATACTCACGTTAAAATAGTTTTTTCTTTTATTTTTCAATTTTAAAATAGAGTTCAGGAGATAGTTCTCATGAACAAAGACTAAAAAACCAAAGATATTATCAGCGTGTTTTTTCTATTCTGCCCTGCTCAGAGAAAGAAGTGATGCGCCCACAAATTTGTGCCCTAACCAGTTTTGCAGAGCATGGGAAATATTTCAATTCAATGTTCTTGTGGGTGTGGGTGTGGGTGTGGTTGTGGCGGGGTGTGGGTGTGGGTGTGGGGGGGGGGGGGGGTGGGGGGGGGGGTGGGGGGGGGTGGGGGGGGGGGGGGGGGGGGGGGGGGGGGGGGGGCGGGGGGGGGGTGGGGGCGGGGGGGGGGGGGGGGGNAATTTTTGAATGTTATTATCAGACAAGAAAAAACGAAAGTTTCAGAGAATTGATTATTGAAAACTAGTTCGATCTCATTGATCTTTTGAATATGATCTTAATCATACTTAGTATACAAATTTTAGCGACATAGATGATTTTGAATCAATGACCATGGAGAGACGAAATGAATGTAATATCATGAACAATTTTGAATTGATTTTAATGCATTTTTATTCATTAAAACTAATCAACTCGATAGAAGTATAGGAACACATAGAATCAAATAGCTTTTAGTGATATGCAATCACATCAGAAGAAAAAAAGACAAGAAAAATGTAATATTATACTTATTTAGTACTCCTTAGTTTATAATTTCTGCTCTCACATTTTCCCTCATTGTACAGACACGAACAGAAGAGAAAAATGATATGTAACAATAATAAATATACATTCGTGTTTGTTTTTGTTCGTTCATAATGTACTTTGTTTGTTGACCTCCCTTGTGCGTCGTAGTTGTACTTTCAGAAGAAACCCTACAGAGTCAAAATGCAATCAACTTTATTAATAATTTTTGCTCACATAACAAACTTTTGTGTTTGCGCAAAAACATCAGGCATGCATTACAATGGCAATATTATTTTGATTACTTTTGAGAAAAAGAATTTGTGGCTTCATTATCGCTGTCGTAACTGAGAACTACGAAGTTCATTGATCTAAGAAAAAACAATAAATATAAGATTTATTCTTATTGTACCAGTATTTATCATTCACAAAAATGGTTTCAAAACTATGAACATATTAAAAATAAATACAAGCGATGCTTGTCATTATTTGCTAACTGTATGTAAACAAAGGACGCTCTTTCGCAGGTATACAAACAGAAATTGTTGACAGATGAGTTCAATAGTCATATTTATCACACATAATATTTTATTTATTCTATGAATTATTTAGAATAAATGTTGATAGCATTGATGGTTCAATATCGATTTATGTTAAAAATGTGCTGTCCAATAATTTGTCTATCGATTTTCGTTTATTATAAGTACAGTTTTAGTATTGCATCTGTTAATAGCTTCTAGTCTCATCCATATCAACCAAATCTTGACGACAAAAATACAAAGTTTCCAGTCAGTCTTTACACTTTGATTCTAAATACTACAATGAAAAGAGTTATGCAGAAGAAAAACTAATGGAGAGTAGGAAAAGGATAAGCGGTAAGTCCATGGACAATGGATCAGTTGCTTTCATTATAAAATACTTCTTTACACGTTTTTCTTATGAATATAATATAAATGAACCATCAAAAGGTGGGGTAGATTTCATAGTTGATTCGTATTTTGTTAATAACTTTGCCAGTTTTCATTGGTTCGGACTAAAATTTC